TGACTGGGGAGCTGGGAGGAGAGTATTGGGGTACACAGGGTGCTGGGGACCTGGAGGTGGGGGTTTTGGGGGTGACAGGGGTGCTGGAGGGAGAGTATTGGGGTACACGAGGTGCTGGAGACCTGGAGATGAAGGGTTTGGGGGTGACAGGGGTGCTGGGGAGCTGGGAGGAGAGTATTGGGGTATACCGGGTGCTGGAGACCTGGAGGTGGGGGTTTTGGGGGTACAGGGGTGCTGGGGAGCTGGGAGGGGTTTGGGGGGGTATGGGAGAGTTCTCGGGGAGTCTCGGCAGGGGTTTTGGGGGTGACAGGGGTGTTGGGATGAGAGTATTGGGGTACACAGGGTGCTAGAGACCTGGAGGTGGGGGTAGCCAGGACCCTGGAGACCTGGAGGTGAGGGTTTTGGGGGTGACAGGGGTGCTGGGGAGCTGGAGGTGGGAGTACTGGGGGTACCCAGGGTGTTGGGATCATGGGGACCTGGCGGTGGGGTTTTGGGGGAGCCCAGGGTGATGGGGAATTGGAGGTGGGTGTTTTTGGGGTAGCCAAGGTCCTGGAGACGTAGAGTTGGGGGTATCGGGGTGCTGGGGACTTGGATGTGTGGAATCAGTATTCCAGGGGGTGCTGTGGGGCATGGGGGTGTCCAGGGTGCTGGGGGCTGACTGAGGGTGTCGGGGGGCTCAGGGTGCGTGTGGGGATATTGGGGAACCCAAGCTGAGGAGTGGAGGTGGGAGTTCTGGGATGTCCAGGGTGCTGGGGCAGGGATTCCCAGATATCCCCTAGGAGATCCTGGGATGCTGGGGACCGGGAGGTGCAGTACTGGGGATGCTGGGGACTGGGAGGTGCAGTGTTGGGGATGTTGGGGGTCGGGAGGTGCAGTACTGGGGATACTGGGGACCGCGAGGTGCAGTACTGGGGATGCTGGGAACCAGGAGGTGCAGTACTGGGGATGCTGGGGACTGGGAGGTGCAGTACTGGGGACCAGGAGGTGCAGTACTGGGGACTCTGGGGGTCAGCAGGTGCAGTACCAGGGATGCTGGGGACTGGGAGGTGCAGTACTGGGGACTGGGAAGTGCAGTACTGGGGATGCTGGGGACCAGGAGGTGCAGTACTGGGGACTCTGGGGGTCAGCAGGTGCAGTACCAGGGATGCTGGGGACTGGGAGGTGCAGTACTGGGGACTGGGAAGTGCAGTACTGGGGATGCTGGGGACCAGGAGGTGCAGTACTGGGGACTCTGGGGGTCAGCAGGTGCAGTACCAGGGATGCTGGGGACTGGGAGGTGCAGTACTGGGGATGCTGGGGACCAGGAGGTGCAGTACTGGGGATGCTGGGGGTTGGAAGGTGCAGTACTGGGGACTGGGAGGTGCAGTACCGGGGACGCTGGGGACCAGGAGGTGCGGTACTGGGGATGCTGGGTGTTGGAAGGTGCAGTACTGGGGACTGGGAGGTGCAGTACTGGGGATGCTGGGGGTCAGCAGGTACAGTACCAGGGATGCTGGGGACTGGGAGGTGCAGTACTGGGGATGCTGGGGGTCAGCAGGTACAGTACCAGGGATGCTGGGGACTGGGAGGTGCAGTACTGGGGATGCTGGGGACCAGGAGGTGCAGTACTGGGGATGCTGGGGACTGGGAGGTGCAGTAC